CAGAGTATTCCTTTAACGAGAAAATTTGTGCTCATTTAATAAGCAAGGTGTTACAGAGCTATAAACCTTTAAATGGCCAAAAGGAAGAAAAAAACCATTTACTGCCTTTATTCCATTCCTGAATAAATCCCACAAGACAACACTACCTTTTTGTTTTGAAGAACTGGTAACAGCATTTCCTCCTTCATCTCCATAAAATGTTAAGCATTGCCAACAAAACAACATAAAATCTTGGTTTATTTTGTCACGTCAAAGCTGATCAAAAGAACAGAACTCCTTTCTTTCTTTCCATGCAACTAAGTTGCACATTAGTGGAAGAATTCATACTCATCTTAAATACCACACTGAATGGGGAGTGTTTTAATAGTGTTTTATATTGCATTTGTCCTCTTTACCTTTTCTCTTTTAACCTAAAGGAGAAAAACTAGTAATTAACCAGTAGAGATTGTTACTGTAATGGGACTACAGTTTGGAATTTTTGAGAAGGTAATTTGTTCCCATTAAGAACAAATACTCATTAACATGCTGTAAAATCAATAAAATGAAATTTGCCACAATAAAATCTTTCTAAGCCTCAGAAGCCAGAAGCCAAGTCCCGCCACCCCATTCAGTTGTACACTTACTATGAAGGGGGGGAAATTTACCCATGAAGGATAGAAAAAAGGTAATGAAAGCACTGAGGCAGTAGTAACCTTAATAGCCTCTGCCTTTGAAATACTACACAGAGCACAGGGGAACAGGTTAACAATATCACAGTAGTTATTTGTTCTTCCATTTAATATATGGTGTCCCAATCAACCCAATACAAACCACAGGCTTCTACACCAAGAGTTACTGGGCTAGATATGTTAAGCCTGGGTGGGTTTGGCCAACAAAAAGAGAAAGGGCTCCTTTGAGCTGATCACATTTGGATATGCAAATAGGATGGATCATTCCCCTCCAGTTTTGAAACCTCCACTTTCATTACAACAGAAGGACAGAAATAAAACAGTATCTAATTGCATGACGTAGAATATCAGGAGCAAGAGAAAAGGCTAAAAACTTTTTCATTTCTTTGAGAAACACTGTTATATTTGGCTGCATATGTGGGTCCCAGATCTAAAAATAACAGGACTCTTTCTCTGACTGAGGGAAACAAGCAAAGTGTAAAACAGATTTACTGGCTGTCTAGCAGATTTTACATTAAATTTTCTCATGTTGCATTCACAGCCAGTAATTGCTTTGTTTTGTTGCTATGCTGCTGCCTCTGCCTTCCTTCGTTTTAGTTAGCACTGCTGTTTTCTGGATTCTGAAGTGGCCAGGTGGACCAAAGATGCCAGTGAATGTTTTGGTCCTATAGCATGTGGCTCCCACTGTCACAAAAACACAGCTGATCAGACCTTCCACAGAAAATGTTATTTTATTTAATGCACATATATAATCATAGCTCTAAAGTGGTTCCCAGACCACTTAAAAGCACAAGCAATCACAAAATAAAACCATGGGCCAGAATAATGCAACAGTTACTATGCCATCCTAAGCAGAATTATACCCATCTAAGGTCACTGACTTCAACGAACATAGAAAGGTGCAACTTTGCTTAGAATGGCACTGTTAGAGACTCTAAAAAGAGAGCGTGTGCCATAAAACTAAGAGGGATGGTGGGAGGAAAAGAACTATTAATCCATAAAACCATTATCTAAAGGTCCCAGGACACAAAGGTGTTTTCACCTGCAGCCAAAAATTCAATAGGCTCAGCATGTGGCAAATTGCTTTGTGGAGGAAATTCTGTAACTGAGGCACCACAGCAGAAAGGGCCTTGTCTCTGGTGCTAAAAGTCAGGGTGTATGCAACAAGGTTTCTGAGATAGATTTAAAAGACAGTTGGGTTAATATGTGATCCTTCAAACACTTTGGTTCTGCTCCCAAACCATCTGGGCAAACGTGGAGTATATACCTCCACTTATGGCAAAAATGGAACCATCCCAGCCCTTCAAACCAGTCATCACATTCCTAATAGTATAATCTGACTTCCAGATAGGCAAGTGAACAAGAAGAAGCCAGGATCTGCAGCCAGAGGAACTACAACAGCAGCTTTATGTTACAGCTATAAAACGAATATCATCAGTTTGGCCACGAAGAAGGAATATTGAACACTGCTATGAAGAAACAAGGAAGGCACAGCTTCCAAGGCATATAAAATGATGTGTGCCACTGTGAAGTACTGCTTTTTTCCTCCTTTCACATTCATCTTTTTTATTAGACTTTCCACTAACACTAAGGTTCAGCCCATCCAAAGTAAATGTTCAGAAGTATCTGTGAGGAGAAGTCTGTATATAAAGAAGCTCTCTGCTCCATAGGCTGTATTTGTACACAAATGGCACTGCAGCAAACGTACATATCGTCTCACAAATGAATATCTTACCTAACCACTAACATGTAGGAACTTACAGTAAAAATGAAGAAGACAGAAAACCAAACACTGTTAGATTTGATCTCTCTCTTAATAATGTACTTGGGGATATATCTGTCTTGTTTTTATCTTGCCCTTCCTCCAAGGTGATCGGGGCAACCTGCAGAGCTTGGTTAGCCTCAATTTTATTCCCAACAATCTAGTGAGGTAGACAGTAGTGACATGGGTTTTCTGCAAAAAAAAAAAAATGGAAATGGAAAATTCCAGAAGGTTCTTTAGACTGGAGGAAGGCTTCAGCTTTTTCTGATCTGAGTGACAGGATACAAGTAATATGATTAGTTTGAAGTCTTTATTACCTTAGGACACGTTGAGTAAATAATTACTTAAATATCTATGGCGCAGCCTATATTCTAATTGAAACAGAGTAGTGCCACATTACAAACTTCTTTAATTGTTTCAGGAATCTCCCTCTTGCAGTGTACACAAAAGCAATGGAACAGAATCAAAAAAGGCATGAAGCTCATTTTAAAAAATAATACATCAACTCAGGGGTAGTTTCGTAGAAAAAGAGCTAGGGGAACTCATTAGCATAACTCATTAGCATATGCCACACCCCCTGACATCAGGGGCCCGGCAGTGGTCCTGCAAGGCCGGCGGGAGTGTGAGGAAGCCCCACCAAGGCCCTCCCTGGCCCCAGGCAGGCAGGGGTGGGGAGAAGCAGGGAGGAAGCAACTTACCCTCCCTCTTCTCCTGCCTCCTCCTGGCTGAATGAGGGCCGGAAGCGGGGCGGCCGGAAGCAAGGGGCGGGGCTTCATCATGTGCCCCACCCCCGGGGGAACTGCGATCCCCCGCGATCCCCCCGAATCGACCTCTGCATCAACTCACTCATTTTATCAATATTGGGAATATGTGAAGTATCTGAGATGTGGTTCATTTAGGGGAACTGGCTCGATAGGTTTTAATGATCAACTGAGAGCAATGTTATATCAGGAAAAAAAACCTTGGGACATCTTGAAACAAGTTCATCATATGCAAAATTTGTGCCTGAAAATTCTCTGGATTTCAGTTCATATGTAAAACAAGGGGCGGGACCCGCGATACTCGCTGCTCACTGGCCATGATCAAGGGCAACTGTTCACTGAGCAACTTGGAGATGTCTCCAAATTGATTTGGTTGCATCTGTGCGATTAGACTCCTTATTCATAGTTACAACCAACCTTACCCATTTGCTGCCACTATTCCAATTTTTATAAGGCACAAAAAAGGCTGGGATGGGGAATCTGTTTTAGATTTTTGAGTTGAGACTTACTGCTTTGATGCCCTGTGTTTCTTTGGTGTTTGGCCATGAACCTAACTAATCTTGTTGTCAGTATGAGCACTTCAGAAATAGATGTCACTGAGTTTTCAAACACAAAATGTTCTTATGTTCTTAACCACTAACAGTAAAAATGAAGAAGACAGAAAACCAAACACTGTTAGATTTGATCTCTCTCTTAATAATGTACTTGGGGAAATATCTGTCTTGTTTTTATCTTGCCCTTCCTCCAAGGTGATTGGGGCAACCTGCAGAACCATTTTATTCCCAACAATCTAGTGAGGTAGATAGTAGTGACATGGGTTTTCTGCAAAAAAGAAAAAAGAAAAAAAAGAAATGGAAAATTCCAGAAGGTTCTTTAGGCTGGAGGAAGGTTTCAGCTTTTTCTGATCTGAGTGACAGGATACAAGTAATAAGATTAGTTTGAAGTCTTTATTACCTTAGGACACGTTGAGTAAATAATTACTTAAATATCTATGGTGCAGCCTATATTCTAAATGAAACAGAGTAGTGCCACATTACAAACTTCTTTAATTGTTTCAGGAATCTCCCTCTTGCAGTGTACACAAAAGCAATGGAACAGAATCAAAAAAGGCATGAAGCTCATTTTAAAAAATAATACATCAACTCAGGGGTAGTTTCGTAGAAAAAGAGCTAGGGGAACTCATTAGCATAACTCATTAGCATATGCCACACCCCCTGACATCAGGGGCCCGGCAGTGGCCCCACGTGCGCACAAACCTCTCCCTCCCCTCCAGGTCCCCCCGATGTGCGGATTTAAGCATCCGCACACCAGGGGGCGACTTGAGTATTAGATATATAGATGTCATCAAGGCAATGAGAGATCCAAACCAACATTCATGATGCTGGAACTGTCAGTCATCAACATACAATCAGATTTATCCACAGTAAATGCACCCTTATTTCCTATTTGTTGTGCATGCTCTGCATACTTCCCTCAAGGAGGCACTTCTATGACTTCTGAAAACAAAATGAAGATCACTAATTCATGGTGAGTTAAAAAGCCAAGTTTCTTTTGATTTCATACTTTTGAGGAAATAGTTTATGGTGATCCCAAAATTCCACACTGAAATTAGGTTTGTGATGCACAGTTGGTCTTACATTACTAACTATACTAAATCTATGAAATCCCTTCAAAGCTTTAAAGTACAATGTTACATCACATAGTTACTGACACAGTATCAATAGCAGGCATGAATACTAGCGAGATTGGACTAGAAATGCTATGATGTGGAATTTAAAAAGTACAAGTGTTTCAAAATATTGTTCTTACCGACAATATCAGCCATAAATTTGACAATGCACTCATCTCCAAAAATCCAAGGACGCTCACCATTCGTATGACCGTAGACACCCCTGAAAAAGAGAATGGAGAAAATTCATACAACTCTCTTTTGTCTGGTTCTAACAGCAAAGGCACAAATCTCATTTTGGAGCTGGAAGAACATAAGGAATTTTATTATATTACGTGTGCTCATAACAAGAAAGCAATATAATGTCCATTATGCAGTGCAGTTTCCAAAATATTATTTATTATTTTATTTATTTATTAAATTTGTATCCCGCCCTTCCAACATGGGCTCAGGGCGGCGAACATAGAGGCAAATGCCATGCATAAAACAATAAACAATCATCTCTCCCTTATAATAATTGAATAGCAATGTTCTATTTCGCAACATTCTAAATTTGGCCCCTTTAGTGTTAGGCCGGAAAAACTGCCACTCAGAAGACACTGGCTGGGTTGACTGGATGCTTTGTGCAGTCCCGCCCAGCGTTCCAAGGTTATTTGCATATGGAAGCTGATTGGACTACACTCCATTCCACACCTCAAACTCACCCCCCCCGCAAGGCAGTTGGGATTTTCAGTTGCATAACATCCCTCATAGGGGAGAGGAGAATGATGTCAGCTGCCCTTTCCCTAGGCAGAGGCTGTGGGGGGGGGGTTGTAAAACTTAAGACAGACAGGCAGATAAAGGTTGGCTGATGGTTGCCAGGAAAGGACATAGAAGAAGAGAAGAAGAGATTGGATTTATACCCCGCCCTTCACTTGGAGTCTCAGAGCGGCTTACAAACTCCTTTCCCTTCCCCTCCCCACAACAGACACCCTGTGAGGTGGGTGGGGCTGAGAGAGCTCTTGACACAAACTTCTCTTTTTCAAGGACAGCTGTGCCAGAGCTTGTGACTTACCCAAGGTCACATCAGCAGGTGAAAGTGGAGGAGTGGGGAATCAAACCCAGTTCTCCCAGATTAGAGTCTGTGCACTTAACCACTACACCAAACTGGCTTTGGGAGTAGTGGTTAAGTGCCAACTCCAGGTTGCCAACTCCAGGTTGGAAACTTCCAGGATATTTTAGGGATGAAGCCTGCTGAGGGTGGGGTCTGAGGAGGAGGAGGAAGAGGGGGACCTCAGACAGATACAATGCCATACTGCCCACACTCCAGACAAGCTGTTGCCAGTCTCCAGGTGACAGCTGGAGAGATCTTAAAGCTTTGGTGCTAATTCAAACTGTTGCAATTTATCGACAGAGTAGTGTTTTGGAAAATCTTGAGGAATTGTTTGGTGCATTTACGATGGGGCTCCTGGGGAACTATTGTTGCCAATCTTGGCCCAGCAGCCATCAAACCATTCTCTTCAACCCCCTGCTGTGCAGCTGACTTCCCCCTAGGGTTGCCAATCTCCAGGTGGGACCTGGAGATCTCCCACTGCTACAATTGATCTCCAGATGACAGAGATCAGTTCCCCTAGAGAAAATGACTGCTTTAGGAGGGTAGACCCTATGACATTATACCTGCTGAGTCCTTCCGCCCCCCCCCGCCCAATGCTGCCCTCTACAGAATCCACCCCCCAAACCTCCAGGTATTTCCCTCCTTAGAGCTGGCAACCCTACATTCCCCTCAGTGCCTGTTGGTAGGCAACTAAGCTTGGTCCTGTCACCTACTTTGGCCTTTGGGAGAAAACACATTGGGGCCAGTCCTGATAGGGTTGCCAACTCCAGATGGGAAATTCCTGGAGATTTGAGGGATGGAGCCTGAAGAGGGTGAGGTTTGAGGAGGGGTGGGACCTCAGACAGGTACAATGCCATAGACTCCACCCTCCAAACCACTCAGTCCCTCATGGGGAACCATTGTTGCCAATCTCCAGGTGAGGGCTGGAGAGCACTCAGAATTACAACTGCTCTGCAGAAGGGAGGGCAGAAGTCAGCTGAAGTCAAAGGGGCAGATAATGGTAGGTTGATGGTTAGCTGGGAAGGAGATGGGGTTGCCAACTACATGCTGACAAATTCCTGGGGATTTGAGGGGTGGAGCCTGGAGAGGGTGGGGTTTGCAGAGGGGTGGGACCTCAGACAGGTAGAATGCCATAGACTACACCCTCCAAACCAGCCACTTTG